TGTGTGTGTGTGTGTGTGTGTGTGTGTGTGTGTGTGTGTGTGTGTGTGTTTTGAGACAGGGTTTCTCCGTGTGGCCTTGACTGTCTTGGAACTCACTCAGTACACCAGGTTGACCTCAAACTCAGATTCACCTGGTTCTGCCTCCCGATTGCTGGGAGTAAATGTGTACAACCATTGCCTGGCTGATTTGTGTGTTTTTTGAGTCAAGTTCTCTTAAATTCATGCTGGACTTGAATTTAAGATCCTTCTGCCTCTGCTTCTTGAGTACTTGGGTTATAGAAGTTTTCCACCATGACCAATAAGGAGATTTTTATATTTTATTGTGACTCTGTCTGCTTGTGATTTCTCTTTCAATGTATGTTTTACATTTTCTGTATGAGCTGAGAGTATATGTATATAAGTTTTTGAAGCAGAATTCAAGTTTTTATTAAAGACATTTTAAACAGATCTTACACACAAGATTAGTAGAGGCTCTCAGGAAGAAAATGACATACCCACATGGGCTTCTTAAAGGAGAGTTGTCTGCCTTTTTTTATATTGTTAAGCAAATATTAAATTTTATTTATTTATTTATTTGAGACAGGGTATCCGTCCGTCCGTCCGTCCATCCATCCATCCATCCATCCATCCATCCATCCATCTATCTACCTACCTACCTACCTACCTACCTACCTATCTACCTATCTATGTGGCCCTGGTTCTGGAACTCACCATATACACCAGGCTGCTTTAAGACTAACAGAGGTCCTCTTGTTTCTGCCTCCTGAAATGAATTTGATTTTAGATATTTTCTGGCTTTTTATAGAGGAATAGGAAATAAAGAGCTGATTTAAAGTAATTTCTGTGTCCAATCTGTGTAGTAACATACTTAGAGAAAATAATGTGGTTAGGTGCCTTTTCTAGTCTGCTCCTTTTCTGTATATTTCTGTATACATGTGTACACACTTCTCTAGAGTCTTTCTAGTTTTAAATTTCATCAGCAAGAAGCTGTTTTAGTTAGGTATTTTTATAGTACTTAAGAAAGGTAGCATGCAGTTAGGTGTGGTGGTATAAATCTGTAGTCCCAGCAAGCTAGCTACTCAGTCTGAAGCTGGAGGGAGCATCATTTGATCCAAAAACCCTAGATTAGCTTAACATAGAAAAATATGAGAAAAATAAGAAAGTAGCATTCTGTCATTATCCTGCAATGGAAGTGAACATAAAATACATTAAATTCAAAGGTAACTCTAATTTTATTATTTATTTAATGATTGTTTGTTCTTTTGAGTTAGGGTCTTACTATGTAGCCTTGACTGTCCTGGAACTCACTAAGTAGACCAGGGTGACCTTAAGCTCACAGAGATCCACCTGCCTCAGCCTCTGGAGAGCTGGGATTAAAGGTGTATGCCATCACCTTCTAGTTTATTTAACTCTTTTTCTGAGACAGTTTTACTATGTAATCCTGGCTGCCCTGGTGACTGTCCTGGAATTGTGTTTACCCTAGCTAGACTCTTACTTTGCCTCCCTCTGCCTCTTAGTGCTGGGATTAAAGGCATGTACTACTACATCCTTCTTACCCCATTTGGACACAGTGTCTTCTAATGGAAACCAAACTGTCTTCCAACTCCTACCTCAGCCTACCCACTAATTGGGGTTATCTAGTAGCTGGTGTTATGGTCATGTTTCACCTCCCCTCGCTTTTTACCTTTCCTTGCTATTAATTTTGTTTTCTATCTGCTGCCTTGTTAAGAAGTGAATGATTTCTTATAAAAATTTCAACTGGGTGTTTGAGGTCAGCCAGGTCAATGTAGGGAATGGTAGGCCAACTAAGCCTACATGATGAAGCCCTGGCTCACAAGAGGTGGAAGGTTAACTTTCTGCCTTTTCTTTTTGGTGGTTTGAGACAGGGTTTCTCTGTATAGTCCTGGCTGTCCTGGAACTTTTCTGTAGATCAGGCTAGCCTAGAACTCATAGTGATTTGCCTGCCTCTCCTTGAGTGCTGGGATTAAAGGCATGCACAATCACTGCCCTGCAAGTATGTGTTTAATATGTTAATACCCATGGCTCATTTCTTAATATTAAAATTAAAGCCAGTAGTGAAAGAAATGTTTTTAATCTTTGGTTTGTATCATTTTGAACTTTAATTTGTATGTGTGTATATTTATAGATTACTATATCAAAAAAAATCTGAATTTATCCTTATTACAGATGAAGTGCATTGCATCATTTTAGTTTAAAACTCCATGTTTTAAATTTGGCTTTGATTTTTTATCATGGAATTACGGTTTTTAAATTTTTTACATTGTTTTCTTTAGAGAAGAAAGAGTGAATATGAAGGTCCCAAGAGATATGGATGATGCCAAGGCTCTAGGAAAGGTCCTCTCCAAGTACAAGGACACCTTTTATGTGCAAGTATTGGTCGCCTACTTTGCTACATATATTTTGTATCCTTTTATCTGAAAAATGTTTTCTAATTTGCTCAAGATGAGGTTCTAAGTTTAAGTAATGACTGTTTTCCTTTTAAAATGTTAATTCAAGGGCCAGTGAGATTGCTTAGCAGGTAAAGGCGCTTGCTACCAACCAAGCATATCCTGGATTTGATTCCTAGGACAACATGGTAGGAGAGAACCTGTTCCTGAAAGTTGTCCTCTGACCTCCATACATCCCACTGAGGTCCACAAACACACACACAAATAATTTAATATTCAAAAATTAATAAAACTGGGTTTGTTTTGTTTTTGAGGCAGGGTCTTACTGTGTATCTACAGAGCAAGTTCCAGTACAACCAGGACTATTACATAGATAAACCCTGTCTTGAAACAAACAAATAAATAAAAATTTGGGTGTGTGTGTCCCTTTTGTTTTGCTTTTTAAAACAGGCCCACGTGTAACCCAGGCTGCCCTTAAGCTTGCTATGTAGCCAGTAATGACAGTGAACCCCTTATGCTTCTGAATCTACCATCCTAGATGGTAGGATTCCATGTATTTGCTACCATGCTTGGCTATTCTTTTTATTTTATTCTTTTTTTGGATACAATTTTTAAAGTTTCTTATTTTAATCCTAGTGTTCATTCATTTAAACAGGTTTTGTTTGTTTGTTTTTTGTTTTTTGAGACAAGGTTTCTCTGTAGCTTTGGTGCCTGTCCTGGAACTAGCTCTTGTAGAACAGGCTGGCCTCGAACTCCCAGAGCAGCCTGCCTCTGCTTCCCGAGTGCTGGGATTAAAGGCGTGCGCCACCACTGCCCGGCTTAACCAGTTTTTTTTTTCTTTTTAAAGCAATACATCTATACTAAGTATATATTGTATGTTTGAATATTGAGTATTAAAAAGCAACATTACTAAGCAGCTGAAAGAATGGGAGAATGATAGGTAGAGACATAGCATAGTTGTTAGTACAGCCAGTCTGCATTAGCGCATATTAGCATGCCTTTAATCTTAGCACTAGGCAGCAGATGCAAGTGGATCTCTTGAGTTTGAGTCTAACCTGGTCTACAAAGAAAGTTCCAGGCCATCCAGGGGCTACAAAATGAGATTGTCTCAAAAACAGCAAAACAAAAACCCTAAAACAAAAGCATCACAGAAGACTTTGGCCGCTGTCTGATTTGTTTCTTCCCAGTGTCTGTTGGGTGTTTGTTCTGGATTTCATCTTAGCCTACTCTTACAACATTGCATTTATTTGCTTGCTGAAGTTTAGTTTTATTAGTCAGTGGGTAGCTTGCTTAGAGGTGGAGGCATCCATTGTTCTTTACTACAAGTCCCCAAACCAATATCCAGAATCTCCAAAGTATGCACCTTGTTTTAGTGTGCACATGATACCACAGGTAGAAAAATCTACCTGAACTCCTAGGGCAGGTTTCATTCCAACACAAAGTAATAATACTGCATAAGATTACTTTGGGGTTATTGCATAATTTCTGTATTGTAATTTTCCTCAGATGTTGAGTTTGTCTTATGAAAATTCCACTTCTTGATGTTTTGATCCTTAACTTAGAAGTTAACAGTCTGCAAACATTTGCTATTCCAGGCTCCATTTTCCTCAGCATCCTCTCAGGGTTCCTTTACCCATTCCCACTAGCCTTATTCCTTGTTTGCTTGGTAAGTATGTGCAATGAATTGGGGTGAGGGTGATAATGGCATCCTAACCCCACCAGTCTGTCTCATTCATCAATTTTTGAGGGGTTATTGTTAGTTAACTTGTTAATTAACAGGAATGTGGTTCCTGTTAAGTCTCTCATAAGGAACTGTTAAGAGTTTGGTTTTTCTGCCGGGCACTGGTGGCGCACGCCTTTAATCCCAGCTCTCGGGAGGCAGAGAGGCAGATGGATCTCTGTGAGTTCGAGATCAGCCTGGTCTACAAGAGCTAGTTCCAGGACAGGCTCCAAAACTACAGAGAAACCCTGTCTCAAAACAACAACAACAACAACAACAAAAAAAGAGTTTGGTTTTCTTAGAATGGGATATTATAGACTTGTAATTACGTAGCCTTTCGTTCCTGTTGTTTTTTGCAGTTCACATGGAAGGGTTTTTATGCATAGGTGTAGGGGAGGATGGGAAGGGCTACTTATTCTTTTGTTTTTTGAGACAGGGTTTCTCTAAATAACAGCCCTGCTGTCCTGGGATTTGCTTTGCAGACTAGGCTGGCCTCAAACTCACAGAGATCTGCCTGCCTCTGCCTCCTGAGTGAAATGCTGTGCCACCACACCCAGCTAAGGCTCTTTATTCTTTTTTTTTTTTTAAAGGTTTATTTATTTATTATGTATACAGTGTTCTGCCTGCATGTATGCCTGCAGGCCAGAAGAGGGCACCAGATCTCATTACAGATGGTTGTGAGCCACCATGTGGTTGCTGGGAATTGAAACTCAGGACCTCCAGAAGAGCAGTCAGTGCTCTTAACCTCTGAGCCATCTCTCCAACCCTAAGGCTCCTTATTCTTAAACTAAAGGATAACAATAATTACTGGATATGGTCACAAAGTTTCATTGCAAGTACCAATTTATTTTATCTGGTCTCGTTTTTAGTTAGAGTTTGAGAAAGGACTAGATCAAATGAGTTCTTCTATTCTCTAAATAAGAGATGTTATTTATCTGCCTGACCCTGAGAGAGGTCAACTAAGTAAATACATCTGCAAGGATGAGATGGGAGGATACAAAGTGCATTTTTGTTTGTTTGTTTGTTTTGTTTTCCAGTGTTCTGGACTTGGTGCCTCATTCTGTTACATGCTCTCCTATTTAGTTGGAAGACCTGTTGTATACAAATACCTAACAGAGAAGGCAGTAAAATGGTCGCAGCAGGTAGGCATGTACTTTTGGTTTTATTTCTTTTTGATTTTTTTGGTTTTGTCATGTGATAAGAAATTTTTAAAACATACTTTTGTTCTTTGAGAATTTCATACAGTGTATTTTTATGATATTCACACATGCCTAATTTCTCACTATGTAACCCTAGAGGGCTTAGATCTCAGTTTGTAGACCAGATTCACCTTTAATATCTGCCCACCTCTGCTTCCAGAGTGCAGGGATTAAAGACTTCATACAAGAAGTTAATTATAAAGCATGTTATGGTTAGCTTAAGTTGTTGACTTGATACAGAGTAAATTAACTTGGGAAGAGAGACTCAGTGAGGAATTGTCTAGACTGGATTGGCCTGCGGGATTTTCTTAGTTGAGTTATTTGAGATGGGAAGACCACCCTGTTAGTGGTCAGTACCATTTCAGTGGCTGAGTCCTGAACTGTATGAAAAGGAGAGCAAGCTAAGCAGTAGCTATGCATTAATTCATTGCTGTCTTCGACAGTGTATCTAGATTATATTCAACCCCAATCTGACTTTACTCTCCCTATTCCTTCAGTACTTCCCCTCCTATAATCTCTATCTCCACCCCACCCCGCAACCTACTAAGTCTAATTAATGTTGCCTGCATGCTCATGGGATGGGCGCATCCATTGAAACATAATAATCTACCACCTCAGAAAAATGACCCCCTCTCCTAGCAACTACCAATAGTTAGTTTCCTAACTAGGGGTAGAACCTCATAAGTCCCTCTTCATCCATGCTGGAATGTTTATTGTGCAATTAAATATTGCTTAATCTTGTGTGAGTAGCCATAGCTGCTGTAATTCATGAGTGAAGTGGCCATGTTATTTCCGACATCATTTCACAGTGTAACTTCCCATCCTCCAGCTCTTAACTTCTTCCCGTTCCTTTCTGTGATGTTTTTTGAGACCCACTTAGGTCTGAGCACTTAGCAGTCACTTGTTGTCAGCACTTTGGCCAGTTAACTCTGCATTACAGCCCACTGCAAAAAGAAACTTTCTGAAAGCAGCACTAATCTATAGATAGAAATATGAAGGTTTGGAAGGCTTTGACAGCATACACATTTAGCAAGACAGCACTAGTGGGTTCCTTTCTAGCCATAGGCTTTGGTCAGATTTACAGTGCCACAGTTTGAGTTTTTTGAGATACGACCTTGTTATATGGCATTTCATACATGTGTACATTGTGTTTTGTTCATCTCCACCCCCTATTTCTTCTTCTTCTTCTTCTTTTTTTTTTTAAGATTTATTTATTTATTTATTTATTATGTATACAACATTCTGCCTCCATATATTCCCGCACGACAGAGGAGGGCGCCAGATCTCATTACAGATGGTTGTGAGCCACCATGTGGTTGCTGGGAATTGAACTCAGGACCTCTGGAAGAGCAGCCAGGGCTCTTAATTGCTGAGCCATCTCTCCAGCCCCTATTTCTTCTTCTTAATTCCCTCTAGATTCACTTCCCAACACATTCCCTCCCCAGTTCCCAGTTACTTGTCCGTCTTTTCTTTATTTCTGTCTGTCTGTCCGTCCTTCCTTCTTTCTTGTTTTTGAGATGGGTTTTCTCTGTATAACAACCCTAGTTGTCCTGGAACTCACTTTGTAGACCAGGCTGGCCCACAGAGATCCTACCTGCCTCTGCCTCCCAAGTGCTGTGTGATTAAAGGCGTGCTCTACCACCGCCAGGGCCAAGCAGTTCTTTTCCTTTTTCTTAATATATTGCACTGAGTCCAGTTGATGCTGTTCATATGCCCATGGATGTGGAGAACCCTGGTTTATTTTTAAATTGTGGATTTTAGCTTGAATCATAAGTAGGTAGATTGTTCTTGTGAAAGCGATTTGTATATACTATACATTTATGTATAATCTTACATATGAAATTAACTTAAACTTTATCTTTTGACAAGGATAATACTAGTGGGATGCAAATGTGAATGTTTATGCTTGTCATGATTATGATCTTCTCTTTTGTTGGTGTTGCTGAGGATCTAGACTCTCCCTCATGTAAAACATAGCACTCTGCAACTCCTGACTTTGTGTTTGTTTTTTGTTGTTTTGTTTGTTGGTTGATCTATTTGTTTTGAGAAAAGGTCTCACTCTGTAGCCTGGCTGGTCAGAAACTCATAAGATCTGCCTGCCCTTGCCTCCCAAATGTTGGGCTTAAAGGAGTGTGCCACCCTGCTAACAATTTTATTTTACTTTTTACATTTTTTTTTCAAATTTTAATTTTATTTATGTGTATATGTGTGTCATGTGTGTATTTCAATGTCTGTAGAGACCAGAATAATGTCAGATCCCCTGGAGCTTGAAGATACAAGTAGGTAGTTGTGAGCCACCTGATGTGAGTACTTTGGTCTGAACTCAGGTCCTGTGGATGAACAGCAGGTGCTCTTGACTATTGACCTGTTCCTTTAGCCCCAGTGACTTTACTTTTTGAGACAGGTTGTCATGTAATCCATGCTGGCCTTGAATTCCTGATCTTCCTGTGTAGAAGGCAGAACTTTTCTGTCCTAACCAACCAGTCAGTCCCAAATAATCACACAAAAGCTTATATTAATTACATAATACTTGGGGTATAGCTCAGACTTATTATTAACTAGCTTTTACAACTAAAATGAGCCCATTTTTATTCATCTATACTTTGTCACATAGTTTGTGGCTTTATCTAGCACATCTTGTTCCTCTGGCGGCTGGCTTACATCTCTCTCTGACTGCTCTTCTTCCTCACTGTATTTTCAGTTCACTTTCCCGCCTAGCCTTATTCTGCCTTGCTATAGGCTATATCAGCTTTATTATCAATCAATGAGAATAATATATATTCACAACATACAGAAGGATTATCCCCAATACTCCTATTTCTCCAACTTTTTTGTTTACTTTTGTTTTGTTTATTTGCTTGCTTGTTTTGTGAAATCGGTTAGCAGAAGTCAATGTCAGTATGAAAGCATCCCAGAATTAGGTACTTCATGTTTTGTGTGAATGTAGCATATTGTTAGTGGGTAACTGAAAAACCTTAAGCTTACTGCTCTTAGGCATTTTAGTAGGAAAAATTTCTGTTTTCAATCAGGATCTCTGAAAAGACTAACAATGATTAATATACTGTACACAGAAAAAAGGTACCATAATCTTTGTGGTGTATTAGACCCTCTGTTGTGACAGATGCTGGAGAAAACAGGCATGATTTTGCTGTTTTCAGTTTTTAGTCTTGATCTCTGTTAATTCTAGGCCAGTGGTGGGACAGAGCTTTAGGCAGAGGAAGTTTGTTTCAGTGTCTCTTCACCTTGTGGCAGACAGGAACACAATGGAGGATCCTGGCTAGAACACTCTTCAACCAGGGTGTGGTGGCATTTAATCCCAAGCACTCAATAGGCAGAGGCAGTGAGTGGATCTCTGAGTTTGTGGCAAGCCTGGTCTATCTACATAGTGAGTTCCAGGACAGACAGGACTACACAGAGAAACCTTGTCTTTAAAAAGAAAATTAATGAACAAAAGAAGAACACCCTTCAAGTAGCCTGGTTCCTCCAGCTGGGCACCACCATCACCCAGTTTCCATAATCTTTCATAGTTCCACTAGCTAGAAACCTAGGCTTCAACACATGTGACAGTTGATAGGGGACACACTACTTTTAAATCACAACAGGAGGAGAACTCTATTTTTATAAAAAGATCAGAAGAAATAATTGCATCTCATAGGAAATAGGTCATTCTTCTTCGGCCTCTTGTTTTAGATAAGAAATGAAAGTTTAATGTTTTACTTTTAAATTGTGATCACATATTTGTAAAACATTTGAAGAAATCTAATGGCTAGACTTTTAGTTTACACTTTAAATTTAGTTCCTTTTTATTATGTGTACCGATTATGAATTTTACATATATATTTTTATTTAGAATAGCTGTTTATGTAAGTGATATTACTAGTTATATAGGAATATAAGTAATTATAGTTAATGAAAATGTTTTATTTATTTAATTCATGTGTTATAATACTATAAGATAAAGATCATATGAATTTTTTTTTAAAAAATTAAACTGGAGGCTAGCATGAATGAGTTCCTAGGATCATTCCTAAATTTAGTAAAGACTAAAATAAGGGCTGGTAAGATGCCTCAGTCTATAAGGTCATGGCCCAAAAAGCCTAACAACTGAGTTTGATCCTTGGAACCCATGAAGGGATTTTTTTTAAACTGTGAGTGTCTATGTTTTTCTGGGTATTTACACATGTTAGGCAGATGCTCTATGCACATTGTTTCTGTTGGGTAAAACTGAGATGTATCAAGAATGAGAATTTAAGGTATTTTATATTAGCAGTTTACTTTCAATATTGGTCTTAACTTACACTGGTTCTTTTCTTACAACAGGTAGAGCGTCATAGAGAACATCTCATTAACTACATTATCTTTTTGAGAATCACTCCATTTTTGCCTAATTGGTTTATTAATATAACATCTCCTGTGATAAATGTGCCATTGAAAGTGTTTTTTATTGGCACTTTTCTAGGTAAGACCTCTGGTTCACACTGTGTGACAGCTCATCATGTGCATGTCCAGCTGTCCAGCTGGCCTAGATTACCTGCTGTGTGCAAAATCACCAGTATCATATATAACTCTTAAACACAAAGCCTGGCCTAGATCAACAGCTTTTTCAGTGTGTTGTGATGTGTTACCTCTTTAAAGAATGAGCACTTTCTATTATGTGTTATTTTAATAGCCTAAGATTAAGCAGAATCCTCACTACCTCTTTTTTGTGTTTTTTGTTTGTTTTGTTTTGTTGATACTAGGGCTCAAACCTGGAAACTTTTTGTTTCTACCCCAACTCTGGCCCATTGGCCCTTTCTTCCTTTGCTAGCTGGAGCCATTTAGATCAGAGATCACAGGCTCTTGGGGCCACAAACTCTACTGATTGAGAACTCTTCTCATGAGCCTGGACTGCATGTTGAGCATCCCAGGCTCAAGGTGTCCTCTGGCCTTCCAAAGGACTTGGTGGGTGATGATTAGTAACTGGCCAAAGACAGCTTTTTCTTAGTACTTTCTCAGCTCCACAAACTTCACTGTGTCCCCAGCCTGAACCTTTCTTTTCTTTTTGGTTTTTTGAGACAGGGTTTCGCTGTAGTTTTAGAGCCTGTCCTGGAACTAGCTCTTGTAGACCAGGCTGGCCTCAAACTCACAGAGTACCTCCCGAGTGCTGGGATTAGCGTGCGCCATCACTGCCCGGCTTCTTTTTATTTTTTTGGTTTTCCAGACAGATTTTTTCTGTGTAACAGTCCTGGCTGCTGGCTGTCTTGCAACTCCCTGTGGATCAGGCTGGCTGTGAACTCACGAAGATCCGCCTGCCTCTGCCTCCCGAGTGCTGGGATTAAAAACGTGCACCTCCACCACCTGAATATTTTTTTTAGACTTCACTGTCTAGCTCAGTAGATAGAAACATTTAGTTTTTGAACTGTTTTTTCTTTGCATTTTAATCAAATATTGAAATCCAATTTATTGCGGATATCACTAGAAGTCTAGGAAAAGCGAGATCAATAGACATCAAGAATTGATACCAAATTTTGAAGTTAATAAGTGGACACAACAGTTTATTAGGGGAGTTGAGTGCTTGCCTAACTACCGTACACAAGGACATGGGTTTGATCCCAGAACTGAAAAAAACTAACCCACCCCCCCCCCAAAAAAAAACCCCACAAAACCTTAATTTTGAGAATTCTGCCTTTATTTAGAAAGACTATTGCTTTTCTTTGCGGTTTAAATTGCTTGGATTCAACATGTGGGGATTTCATGTATTGAATATTTGCCAAAGTTGACTTACAAGTTCTGATTTTTTTTTTGAAAAAAATTATGTGTCTGAGTGAGAAAATATGTGTGTGAGTATAGGTGCCTGTGGAGATCAGAGGCATCAGATTTCATTGGAGCTGGAGTTCTAGGCATTTGTGAACCACCAACATAGGTGTTGGGAATTGACCTGTGACCTTCTGCAAGAGCAGCAAGCATTCTTAACCACTAAGCAATCTTTTGAGCCCCCTGCATTTACTTCATATCATAAACTGCTGGGCTGCTGTGTCTACTTAGACTTTGAGGATCTTCCCATCTTCTACTGCTTTTTTGTGTCTGATTTGGAGGTAGAGCTTGAACCCAGGACCTTTTGAATACTTGGATGGCATTCTACCACCGAGTTACATTTCTAACCCTTACCATTTTAATTTTAAAGTCTGTTCTACACACTATATTCAACCTAGTTTTTGTGGGTTTTGGGTTGTACTGGCAGTACGTGGGCTTGAACCTAGGACTTCATGCATGCTAGGCAAACACTGTCATTGAGTTAGCTTCCCAGCCCCCCTCCCCCTTTTCACTTTTTACTTTGAGACATTGCTTAGACAAAGCTTGGACTCTAAAAAGCTTGGTCTTTCCTGCCTCACCGCCCTAGTAGTAGTTGGAATTACGGGACTGACTGACTTTCAAACATACTAAAGTTGTGAAGTTATTCTCTAGGTGACCTTTTTTGTTTTGTTTTCATTTGCCTTCTCAAGTTTTCTGGCTTTTAAAATTTTCATTGTCCTGCTTCTGGAGAAATAACTCAGGAGTTAAGAGCACTGGCTGCTCTTCCAAAGGTTCTGATCCCAAAGGTCAATTCCCAACATCTACATGGTGGCTCACAACCATCTGTAATGAGATCCGATGCCCTCTTCTGTCCTGCAGGCATACATGAAGGCAGAACACTGTATGCATAATAAATAAGTAAATCTTTAAAAAAATATTTTTCATAATCCTTAGGAGGTGACTGAAAAACTGAATTACTTTGAGGGGTCTACACTTATGGAGCTTGAAGTTTTCTACCCACTGAGCCATCTCGCTAGCTCTTCTTATACTTTGGAATATTAAACTCTCTATGAAAAGATGTACTTGTAAAATTGAGTGAACAATTGGGAGAGATTTGATCTTGGTGCATATAACAAAAGGTTTTATTGGACTAGCACAGGGCTGTTAGGACTGGGTGAGCAATCTAAGCACATGAAAAAAAGGAACACCTGAAATTAATTTTATTTCCATGTTATACTTGAGTCTGTGTCAGATAATTTTATCATTTCAAAATGTAAGCCAATGAATCCGATAATCCGCTGATATGTGCTGGGATTGATCCAGGGCCTCCTGTATGCTAAATACCTGCATTAACTTCTTAATCCTTTGTTCACAATGCAAATGACTGTGTTCCTAAAAGACTATATGCACATAGAATTTTACTTTTAAAATATGATTTGGGGGTTCTGGAGTGATGGCTCAGTGGTTAAGAGTGCTTGTGCTTATAGAGTACCTAGGTTCAGTTTCCAGTACCTGTATGGAGGCTTATACCTGTCTTGTGTTATTCTTGTTCTAGAGATCTGATGCTACCTTCTGGCCACCATGGGCATGCCTGCACATAGTACACTTACTACATACATGTGAACAAACCATGCATACATATGAAAAATATGAAAATGGTGGTTTTTACTTTATGTGACAGATTGCCATTGCTACTCACTCACTGTTTTTTTGTTTTTTATTTTAGGTGTTGCACCTCCCTCTTTTGTAGCAATTAAGGCAGGAACAACTCTATATCAGCTTACGACAGCAGGGGAAGCTGTTTCCTGGAACTCAGTATTTATTCTAATGATTTTGGCTCTTCTTTCTATTTTGCCAGCCATCTTCCAAAAAAAACTAAAACAGAAATTTGAGTAAAAATTGTGGGTTTTTGTTAACCACTACCACCACCAACGTCACTACCACCACCACCACCATCATCTCAGGAATAGCAGGTGTATCCATTTTATGTTTTGAAATCAGCTCTTCAGTAACTGAAAGAAGGATTTGTAAAGTAAACTGTCAGAAGATTGTCAGACTATGAGAAGTGCTGTCATCCGATCTGTGAGATGTAACGTAAACATCACTGTTCCAAGAGTAGCTCTGAGATAGCATGCGTGTGCCTTGATTTGGGATTCTTACTCGAAATGATTCATTGAATTGAGTGGTTTTGTGGTTTTGTTTTGTTTTGTTTTGTTTTTCCTTTCTATCTGACTAATAACTAACGTAGTGCACTTGGGTGCAGTGGCACATACATGTAATCCCACCTGCTCAGGAGACTAAGGCCAGAGGATTGCTTGTTTGAGACCAGCTTGAGCAATGCCATAAGATCCTATATTAATGAAAAATAAGGAACAGTGAAATAAAAAAAGCTTAGAGCAAAAACCGAATACTTAATGCAAACGGGAGGTTTTATTTTCTTTCTCTTTACAGACAGCACTTTCCATAGGCCAGAGAATGTAGCAAGGATAAGTATTTAAGTTTATAGAGGTTTATCATAAATTAGTTTGATAATTTAAATTCTTGCCAGTCTGTTTTCATCCTTTTTACAGTATTTCCACCCTATATATATAGAATGAGACTTCTATGCCTGTATCATATTGGTGTCGATATTGTATATTCAGATGATATTTTGTTACAGCGTCTTTATTATCTCAAAAGGGTTCTGAAAGTAAGTACTTGAAACATAGAGTTTTTAGACATTAATTATCTTATAATGAAACATCTGGTAGAAGCTCTAGTGTTTAAACTTAGTTTATTTGTTCCAATAGCTGTAAATTTTGCCACATTAATATATTTGCTCATTAAAGAGTGTATTGTGTAATTACCTTTCATGCACGATACATCTGTGTGATTGCTTGTTGCCTTTTCTCTGATGACTTCCTTTTGGGACAACACTTGATTAGTACAGTTTCCCAGCTATAGAGCTTTTATTTTCTCACCTGACAAAGTGAAACAATTTCTACATGGTGATTATTGTCTCTACCATTTCTTGGGAGAGACTCCTTTTGACTTCATTCCTTGCCAGGACAGAATGATCTAAAGCACTCTAAGATCAAGTTGGTGTGTTGAACATTCACTTTAGCAGTGTGCAAACCCTTGTGTTTTTATTCATAGTCTGATCTTCGAAGTCCGTTTCTCCTGCATAATCTTTTTCTGTCACAGTATTAACATGTGGATATATTACAAATATAAGGAAAATAATATTGATTGATAGTATAGTCTTGTGTCCTTTTGTGTGAAATTGTTATGTCTAGCAACAGTCTTGCTGAGTGATAAAGCTTTTATTTTTACAAATGAATTAAACACATAGATGTTTAGGGCAAAGTTTACTAATATTATTGTATAAATATCATTGAAGCTGGACATGGTAACATGCTTGCAGTCCCAAGACTTGAGAAGTAGAAGTTCAGAGTTAACCTTGACTGCCTAGTTTGAGGCCAACCTGGTTTATACATCATATATATAAACAAACAGACACATATATGTGTCTGTGTGTTTTTATCAGATCTTTAAGGGGAAGACCCTGCTGCTTATTTTGGTTTGTATATGGTGCATAGTCTAGGCTGAGAATATTCTCTCCATCCTCTAGCATATAAATTCTTTCCCTTTGCTGTATTTTTCCCTATATACAACAGGAACTGCCACTTTAGTTGGATATACTTTCTTCTCCTTAGAGAGAGTAACCATTGTTTTAATATTTCACCCTTGACTGTCAAGAATTTGGAAGGCTGGTGAGGTAGCTCAGCAGTTAAGAGCACTGACTGCTCTTCCAAAGGTTTTGAGTTCAATTCCTAGCAACCACGTGGTGGCTCAAACCATCTATAATGGGATCTCTTGCCCCCTTCAGGGAAGCAAATGTACATGCAGACAGAGCACTCACATAAAAATATATAGCTAAGTAAAAAAGTTAAAGAAAAATTCTTGGGAGTGGAGAGATGGCTCAGAGATTAAGAAAACTGGTTGCTCTTCCAGAGGTCTGAGTTCAATTCCCAACAACCACATAGTGGCTCATAACCATCTATGAGATTTGGTGCCCTCTTCTGACTTTCAGATAGAACACTATATAGATAATAAATCTAAGAAAGAAAGGAAGGAAGAAAAAAGGGGCTAGAAAGATGGCTCAGCAGATTAGATCGCTGGCTGCTTTTTCAAAGGTCCTGAGTTCAATTCCTAGCAACCAAAGCACTGTTTCCATTCTCTTTGGGTCAGAGACTGAAGTCAGGGCCTTGCCCATGCTTAAGTATGCCCCCTATGTCTGAGGTATGACCATAGCTACATCTTTAAGAGATTTCCTAGTAATAACCATAAAAGAGCATAGTATTGGAACAGAGAGACAAGTAGGCTAACTAGGCAGTCCACATACTTAAAACTGTTTCCTTCTTAGTTTCTGGCTCTTTATTAGAACTTTGTTACTTTGGGTATTACATATCTATGCTTAATAAATGTAAACTAAAGTGTAGATTATACTGGAGAAGCTTCATTGTCGTGCATTGGATTCATTTCATCAGAGTAATGTGTGTGTGTGTGTGTGTGTATTTTTTAACAAATAACATTTTTTGATTTTTGTTTTTCAAAACAGGTTTCTCCGTGTAACAACCTTAGCTGTCCTGGAACTCACCTTGTAGACCAGGCTGGCCTCCAGCCAGATCCTCCTGCCTCTACCTTCCAAGTGCTGGTATCAAAAACATGCAGGACTACTGCCTGACTTTTTTTTTTTAAACTTAGGACTTGAACCTAGGTCTTTGTGCATGGCAGGCAAGCATTCTACCACTGAGCTATATTTGTGGTTCCCTCAAAGATTCTAACATACATTTTACCATTCGGAACAAAGAACTTAAGGGCTGGGATGTAGCTTAGTTGGTGCTTACCTCGTATATTTGAAGCTCTAGGTTCAACATCTCCACCCTCTCCCTAGCTAGCACCTCATAAATCTGGCACAGTGGTGCAAACCTGTAACCTAGGCACTATAAGTTCAGCAAAAGGATCAGAAGTTTTTTGGCTTCACATCAAGTTCTAGGTTAATGAATTAGCCTTTGTCTCAAAAAACAACAAAATATATTAATCTTAACATAAATCAAAATATAAAAATTTTAATATAACTCTTCATGAAGCCTTGAGAATAAGTACCAGGAGACTAGACTGCTCTGGCTCTTGGTATCAATGTCAGTATCTTGGTGGTGATGTACTATATCTTTACAAGATGTTGCCTTTGAGTAAAATTGGGTACATAGGATTTCTCTATTTCTTTTTTTTTTTTTTTTTACATTTGGAGTGAGTTATTTTATTATGGTATTGAAAATTGAACCTTGGGCCTCAATGCATTCTAGTTTGCTCAGTACACCCTCAGTGCTTTACCACTGAGCCAAATCCCAGCTCCTAGCACATAATTTCATTTCCTACTAATGCATAATATAATTCTGAGGTTGAATCTATTTTTTTAAATATCCGAGGGCTCCTTCCATCCCTTCCACTCTTCCCTTTTTCTTTATTTTATTTTTTTTATTATTATTAAATTATAAAAGTTTCCATTTCAGCCCCTCCTCCCAACACCCTCCCACTCTCCCCACTCCCTCTCCTCCTCCCTCTCCATCCCCTAGAGCAGTCAGGGTTTCCTGTCCTGTGGGAAGTTCAAGTTCCTCCCCCCAGGATTTCTCTATTTCTTAAAACTATATAAATATTAGAATTGTCTCAAAATAAAAAGATTAAGATTAGGGTGTGGTTGCATACACATTAATCCCATCACCCAAGAGGCAAGTAGATCTCTTTGAGTTCTAAGCTAATTAAAAACAAAATTTGGGGTTGAAGGGAATGGATCAATGGTTAAGAACACTGACTGCTCTTCCAGAGAACCCAGGTTCAGTTCCCAGCACCCACATATCTGTCTGTAACTCCAGTTAAAGGGCTTTTGACACCCTCACACAGATACACATGCAGGCCAAACACCAATGACCATAAGATAAAAATAGATTGGCCAGGCAACAGTGGCGCACATCTTTAATTCCAGCACTTGGGAGGCAGAGGCAGGCAGATCTCCATGAGTTTGAGGCCAGCCTGGTCTACAGAGTGAGTTCCAGGACAGCTAGGATTGTTACACAGAGAAACCCTGATTTGAAAAATAAAAAAAAAAAGTATAAATTATATATTTAAAAGATTGGAGATTACTTCCCCACCAGTGATGTTTGAATGAATGATTGTTTCTCATTTTAGCAATTATTCATAATAGAGCAAAAATGGAAGTAATCCAGATGTCCTTCAGTAAATGATTTTTTAAAAAGAAAGCAAAATTAAAACATTAAAGAGGAGCTGGGTGTGGCATCATGCATGGAATCTCAGCCCTCTAGAGGCAAAAGAAAGAAATTCAAGGCCAGTCTAAGCTACATAATGAAACCCTATTTCTCCAAAACACAAAGCAAACAAAAATTCATTTTTTTTCCTAGCATCTCTTTATCTCTTGCCTTGATATATAGTATCAAGTAGTAAAGTGCTTGCCTGGTATGTCAGACCACTTAACTTCTAGAAAACACACAAAGAATAGAAACGAAAAAGATCGGGTATTTTAGTCACCTATAATGCCAGCTGTGGCTGGAGAGACACATTGAGTTCAAGGCCAACCTAAGCTAGTAGCAAGAACCTATCTGGAAAACAGATGGGCTGCGAAGATGGTATTTCTGTCCCATATAACCTTGGTCTCTGAGGATGGAAACTGAACCCATGAGAAATAAGGTTGATCTAGTCTCCACAAACTGATGATCGAAGAAAAGGAAGAGTAGCTGGGACTATATAACCCAGCATGCATGGTGTCATCCTAGGTTCAACAAAGAGTAAAGGAATCAAGTAGAGATGTTTGCTAGATAGTAGCTGTCAGATTATGTACCTAGTGGATTCAGAGAGAAGCTGGGCCTAGAACTCCCCTATTTCTCCATCTGAAGCCTAGTAGCATTACTGAGCTCCAAGTTCTCAGTGTTCTATGCTTGACAGAAGTACTGTTAAGGACATTCTGAATATGAAGCCCAGAGATCAGAGTTGGAACAGTGGTGGGGAGTTCATGTCTTCATAATTCCAGGTTTGTGTATTGCAAATAAAGATTTGGTGAATGCCTACAAGGTTTGTATTGTGGTTTTTTATCTACCTTTTCACTTAATTTGGATTTTCAGAGACAAGATATCTCCATATAACATCCTAGCACTTAATCTGTATTGCATGCTGGCCTTGAGCTCAGAAATCTACCTGCCTCTGCCTCCTGACTGCTGGGACTAAAGGTATATGCCACCACCGCCTGGTTATGTTATGACTTTTAAATTGACCGCAGGTAAATTTTAGTCCATAATTACTGGCAGTATTATAGTGGGAGTGTCTGTGGTGTGATATTTTGAAGATTTTGAACAACTGTATTCCAGATCTATTAAGCAAAACAAAACAAAAAAAAAACTTAAGGTGGCAATTTCTGGTGGTTTTTTTTTTTAAAGTAAATCTTTTTTTAAAAAAAATATTTATTTATTTATTATGTATACAATATTCTGCAGGCCAGAAGAAGGCACCTCATTACAGATGGTTGTGAGCCACCATGTGGTTGCCGGGAATTGAACTCAGGACCTTTGGAAGAGCAGGCAATACTCTTAACGACTGAGCCATCTCTCCAGCCCCCTCTGGTGGTTTTTAAAAGTGTATCAGGGTTGGGGAAATGACTCATAGGTTAAGAGCACTTGTTTCTCTTGCAGAGGACTAAGGTTTGATTCCCAGCACTCACATGGTGGCCCACAACTATCTGTAACTTCAGTTCCAGAGGACCCAATGCCTTCTTTTGACCTCAGTGGGCACCAAACATGCATGTTGCATACACATACACACAAAGGAAAAATATGCACATAAAATAAGTCTTAAATCATTGTGAGTTAGAGAGAAAACTCAGCAGATGTTCAATCATGAGTACTAGATTTTGGATTCCAGCAGCTATGTCCTGCAAACACCTGTAGTTGCACCTCCCAGGGACATCTACGTAGACTCACACACACACACACACACACAAAAAAAAAAAAAAAAACAAGAAAGTAAGTCTTTAAAAGGATCATACATAAATGCAATCCTGAAAACTGAGGCAGCAGGTTTGTAAGTTTCAGACCAACTGGACTACAAAATAACATCCTGTCTAGAGAATAAATAGGGGCTGTGGAGAAAGTATAGTGAGTGGATCCCTGGGTGGTGCAAGAAAACTGGGTGA